ACACAACATTCCTCTGGTTCCTCACCTCCCACTCTCATGACCCCAATCCTGCCTTTCACTGAGGACTAGGCTGGAGCATGTACATAGGTACAGATAAGAGCTCACAACACATGGAATCTAGGCCAGAAAAACTCCTCAGGAACAGAAATGGGAGTAGCAATGCCAGGAAGATAAGGGGGAAGGTGAGAAGAGGAGGGGGAAGAAACTACAGGGGAAGGGAAAATTATAATAATTATGAAAATAATAACAATAATGTATAATTTATCAAGGGGTCACCAGGGTGGGAGGGTGAAAAGAAGAGCTGATACCAAGGGCTCAAATAGAAAGCAAATGTTTAGAAAATCATGATGGCAACATATGTACAAATATGCTTGATACAACTGATGTACGGATTGTTATGAGAACTGGAAGAGCCCCCAATAAAATGATCTTAAAAAACAACAACTCACTCATATAACGGAAAGTCTCCTCAGCAAGGACTGGAGAGAGGTCATCAGAGGCATGTTGGTGCTGGTGTGGGGACTGAGTCCAGTCTTGGTTTTCATACAGAAAGAGAGAGTCCACTCTCAGCTTATACTGCGGCAGCTGTTCTTCTAGCAGGCTCACCAGCTCAACTTCGGGAAGGTCTTCATTGGAGCAGACCTCTGAAGGGGAGATTCCAGGTAAAAAATTTACTAGGCTATCGAGAAGCTCTGTGACATTAGTTTTGTAAAAGAAAAAAATGCCAACCAAATAAACATTAAGCAAGATCATTGCGCTGATAATTTTTAATAATATCCCTGAACTACACTTGATCTTTCTCTAGCTTCGTTTAATATGAAAACCTCTGAAATAAAAAAAAACACACATTTTGATTACAACTTAATGAATATAACTTTTTAGAATTCACACATGCATTCATTCACTCACTCACACACACACACACTCACTCACTCACACACTCACTCACTCACTCACTCACTCACTCACCGGTTCTGCTTCTCCAAAGAGCCCAGTCTAACACAAACAACTTTTCGTTTCTGAGCCTTAGTTTCCACTTGTAAAACAAGAATCACCGTCCTCACGCAGCAGTGAGGAGCACATGGAACAGGAAGGCACCTAGAGGAATACCTCACACACCACAGGTACTCGCTGAACACACTGCAAGCCACTTCTCTCATGCCTGCAAGGGCTCAACACAGACGGGGGCTTTTTAAAAATGTATGTGCTTGCCCCTGGTCTCCTGTATAGTCTATCATTTAATATCTCCCACATTTAGCAGTTTACAAAGTGAGACTTACCCCTTTTACCATGCTTAAAATACTAAGGCTTAAAATAGGAAAAACACCGGATGGCATGTCAACCCTCTCACTTTAAGAGATCTCCTACTTCCTTTGCAGGTGGCGTAAAGGAAGCATGCTCTATCTCAGGCACATAAAAAATTTCACTTTGGGCAAGTAACTTTGAAAGAGTCAGTTTCTCCTATTTGTGTCTTAGCTTACAGTGCCAGTTTCTTAAGTCAAATACGAGGGTGGCACTATCAGATATTCCTGTTTCCCCAGAAAAGGACAGGTAAGGGTTTCATAGCCACAAAAGGACAGAGATAAGGTATATTTAAAACCTTGAGTGTTCTAAAGGAGCTCTCAACCCTAAGATGATCTTTAGACAAGGCCTTGAAAACAAAAACAAATCTCTTTACTACAGATTCCATTATCTAAAATGTTTCTGCCACAAGAATATATTGATTGTTACTGTAATATGTGCAGGAAGAGAAGCTGGCTATAAATACATGCAGAGCAAAGCTCAGATGATTATGCATTCAAAGAGCATGATACAAATGACAGACAAAAATAATATTCATTAAAAGAGCTATTATTCCCTAGAAGTTTTATTTTAAAAAGTATTAATGAAATTCTGTAAAATTTCAAGGCCCTCAATTTCCTGCTTCCATAAAGTACTTTAAATTTTTTTAGTAGATTGAACTAAATATCTTTCAGGCAAGCTCTTTCTATTTTCTTCTGTATTTCTGATAACATACTATTTATTACTATCCTGATGACCCAATGCATTCTCCAAATGTCTCCTCCATGTGCCCACTTCTTCCCAGTCATACTGCCTCACATAGGCAAGGATCTCATTTCTCCTAATGACAGTAAAATCTAAGCACACAACAATGTAACACTGAAATGCCAGAATCAGATTTAAAAGTTCCAGACATGTAAAGCAGCAGCAAATTATAATTCTTAATCAAGGGGAAAATGAGTCAGAGATAACCAGGAGATTATGAATGATCAAAATGGACCATTATGCTAGAAATAAAAGAATTAATATGCAACAACTTTAAAACAGATTATTAGTATGGCTCAAGGATTTAAAGAAAAACATGAACTCAATGAAAAGGCAAATAAAATATATTTATTTATATATAAAACTCAAAATGGTACTGAGAATTGAAAAGTAGACTAATATAAAAATTTACTGGAAGATTATAACACATCAGACATCCTTCAGAGAAAAATGAATAGTAAACTTGAAGCTGAAGTCAAGGGAACTATGAAAAAGGAAGCATAGTACCCAATCTAAGAGCAATTAGTTCCTATGACATGGCTCTACTCAGTACTTGTCTCATGAAGAGATCACCAAAGATATGGGTGCTATAGTAAAATGTGGTGAAGAAATCATACGGCACTCAGTTACCAAAAAAAAACAAACAGTGCCTGGAATCTTAGAGGCTTGCCTTAAAACAAGAAGCCATCTAAGCGAAGTGTCAAGTGTTGGCTAATTCCACATAGAAGCAGCACTCTAGCTTGTGTGGGCCAACAATTGTAAATAAAATAAAATAAAATCCAACATCGGAGGAGGGGGCTGTATTCAAGCTTACAGATTCAATTATGAACTATATGGCGGAAGTGCCCTTCATGAAGATTCTGATAAAAGTAAAATGATAGAAAATGTTATACTGTAATACCAATTTCAAACGAACTTCTTCCAGAAAAGGATTCTTTCAGAACTCATTTTATGGGACCAGAATTGCCCCACAGAATCCAATGAATGGTATTAAAAGTACAAATCAAAAATTCTCAATGAACACTGATACACACTAATAAATAGATCCCCTATTTATGCAAGCACACCTCTGGCAGATCAAATCCACAGCACATAATAATAATAAATCAAGACAAAGTGACGTTTTCTCAGGCAGGAATGCAAAGCTATCTTAAAAAAGTAAACCAATAGACTTCACCATACTAACAGACTGAAGGAAAACACAACAGAAAGCCACCAGCCAACCTCCACCCCCGCCCAAATAACCACATGACCAGCTCAACAATTACAAAATAAGAACCTGACAAAATTCAACACCAACTACTCATCCCACTAAGAAAAGGAAATTCTCACAGCTTGGTAAAGGGCATTCATTGGGGCAAAATGAAATCTCTTAATATGGCTGTTCTGTGTTTCTGTAACTCTCACCAAATGATTGGGTGAAGACCATCCAAAAAAGGGTGTGTGAAAGACTAATAGAGGGGGTTGATCCATTTTAGTTCCCACTTCCTTGATTATAAGAATGAGCTGGCTCAGAAGCAGGACAGATGAAATTCCCAAGACCACTGAAGTAGAAGAGCCACCAGTGAGCATGTTGGAAATCCCTAGCTGAAGTGGTGGAGGCAACTAACGCTATGCCACCTTGAGACAAGTAATGCTATGCCACCTTGAGACAAGTAATGCTACGCCACCTTGAGACAAGTAATGCTACGCCACCTTGAGACAAG